GTTAAATATTAACAAAAAATTTGTTATTAAATTTTTCGACTCAAAGTGAATATAAAAATGGATACACATTTGATAATGACTTTTTAAATTAATACATATATTAGTTGAAAAAATTATGCAAGATTATTATTTGTTATATATCATATTTAAAACCCTAAAGACGCTCTGTTGAATGCAACAATATTTTGCATAAATTATCTGAGATGTAGCTTTATGATTAATGACCACGATTTGATTAAGTCAACAAAATTCAGTGATGAAAAAGATATCAATTAATAATTCACTTGTCCCCACTGGGGAAGCGTTTTATTCACTATTTAACCGCCAATGTTTGGTTTCCATCATTTTTCAGGAAGCGTTAATGAATTTCAACGTGTATAATTTGTTTTTGAATAGCGAAATTAAATTTTATATGCACTTTCATGTCAGAAAAAAGTTTGCCAATGTGCTACCGTAACAGACCAGTAATAATGGATTATACGAGAGTTTGTTCAACCTGTATTGCTATCTTACAAACCTGTGAACTGGACAATAGGATAACTCCTATTGAGAAATAGATAAATAAATAGCAAATAAAATTTCAGAGTCTAAGCGGTTACCTTAGAATTATAGTATAATACAGAGGCAGTAAAGGATAAACCTCTACACCTGTTCAAAAGACTTATTAGTAATAAGTAAACAATATATTCTAACCAAATCATTACTTATAAATGCTGCGGATATCCAAACATCAATCAGTCTTTAGTATTTTTCTCTCAATAACTGTCTTCTGTAGTTTTCTTTTTCTTTGAACATATCATTGTATGCAAAATGTGTTCCTCTAAAAATATTTAAAATAATTATTATCATTTAGATGGATGTACATATGCATAAAAAATGAATTATTCTAGTATTATTTCAAACTGTTGTTCTTATACTATTCTTATCCAGATGTTATTAGAAACACAATGTTTCGATCAATGACTCACTAGTCATCATCAGGTGTACATTGATTGGCTGATATTGGATATCTTGGTTGCGATGTTTTATCCCCATGATAGCGGTTATTCTACGTTCCTGCTAAATTGGGGCTTCACTACCTGACTCAAAAATTTAACTCATGACATCGTCCCAATAAATAAATTATCCAGTGGTCATACTGGAATATTTATGTTTAGAACACAACTAGAGCTGGTAATAGTTTTCTTCTCCAAAATTATTGCTAATGAGTTGTTACTCTCTGAATTATGCCAGTATCAGTCAGTCAGTTATGTGCCATGCGTTATATACGCTTAGGCGATCATGTATCTTTCGATATATAACTGACCAGGCAGATGTTTTCCCGCAGTAGGTTGCCATTTCTTTCTGCAGTAGACCAGTTACCATCCAAGGCTATAGAACCCTGTCTGTCCTATTTATTTAGCTGTGGGGAGAAGAAGAATATTCATACCTTTCCCTAGTGTATTAGCAAGTAAGTGGATTCGACTGGAAGTCGAAATCAGCTCTCAGATTCCTCAGTCCGGGCCGCTATCCATTAATCCAACGTCAAAGTGTAATCAGATAAATATTCAGAACAATGATTTAGTTGTATGTCTAAATAACTATACAAACTAGAATAAACTGCGTGATACACCGAAGTATATAAATTTGTATAATATATTAATATAGATCTGGGTTGGAAATACAATATGAAAGCAACATTATATTCTTATATTGGCCACACATACATCACATTCTCTCGTAGGTTGACTTGTCACTTGTCGAAAATTAGTGCAATTCGGAAATAGATCTCCCATCACATCACAGACAGCTAAAATACAACTACGAGATAATACAAAAATGGTATACAGCACTCAATGCAAAGAAAGATTCAAAATTTTAGAAGCTCAAAATTATATAAAAGAAACAATTTATGTAAACAACACCGAGTTCGTGAGACCTGAAAGAACAAACTAACACTTTTGAAATCAATACATTGTGTCATAATACGCGCTGTAGATAGAAATATACTGCTCAAAAGCGATTTTGTCATTCGTGATATTATCCCTCATTTTTAGATTTATGTATTTAGCGTTGTACAAAAGTCACACTTCTTCAATAAATATTTTATGTCAGTTATTTTTATGGTTAGAACATATTTATTCGTTGGGTTTTGTTCAATTTCCCACTATGGAAGAGTTCCAAGTTTAAAGTTATAATAAGGACACCCTTTTGGATAGCAATCATTATAAAATAAACGAAGTACACAGTATAGATATAACATTTTTATTTCTAATTCCTGGTAAAAATCTAAGTAAATACTATATAATCTAAAATAAAACTAAAATACCAACGATTTCTCATTCACAACACTCGGTATTTCTAAGCTAATTTATTTCAAAGTAGAGCACATTTAATTGACAGTAAGATTGTTGCATTGTATTTTTCTCCAGTAAGTCCAACGGGGAAATCATTCTTCATCACAAAATGTCAGTAGGGATATAAGTATTTAAATAAGTACCAAATAAGACGGGAACTTTTGTTAGTGATGAAGGATCGAAACTAATTTCGTCCGTAATGGAAAAAGCGTGAATCACTGTGCCAACTAATCGGTAGAATCCTGCCCATTTGTTCTATCGATTAGTCTGTTCTTCCCTAGCAGTTAAGGTTTAAATAACCTACCAAACAGATACAAATATATATTAGAGAAGAAAAACAAAGTAAAATAGAAATGGGAATAAATAAGAAAATTCTTTAGTACTGGAGATGAGTTTAGTAATCTTGAGAAAATGGCTTTACACAAAGGAAAAAAAAGTAGTTCATGCAAGACATATTACTAAAATCTGCCAGGATGTAAAGGGCTGATAGCCGAAATAGATATTTCATTTTTTCTTTCTTTTTCTGGACGAATAAGCTTTAAGTACTGTTATACTAACATATATACATACAAAAATATATACTAACATATATACGTACAAAAATATATTTACATGTGTTCACTACTCACACCTTTTCTCCCATTCCTTGTGTTTGTGTGTGTATGTTTCTGTGTGCGTTTGTGTTTTTCAGAAACGTTACCTGAAACTTAGTATATAAAATTATAACTTCGTGATATTTTCCCAATCTTTCCTTCTATAGCTACCAATCGCAATAGTAATCCCGCAGTTAGAATAGTTGATTATACATCTTTTGAATATTTTCTGTTCTAAAACTTATGACATGTTGAAGGTATTGTTTAATTTAAATATGTGGTGACATTTATTAACTTACTTTCGGATTTAATCAATCAGAAGGAGATCATTTAACACTCAAAGGTGACAATCTAAACCAAGGAGATAAACTAATAATTGGAACCACGACTGAACATCACATGAAAATATATAGTTATAAAGAAATAATGATAGTTATAGAGAAAGATATATGTTTTATATTTGCAATAGCATAGACAGTGCTGTCAATGATGAATCCCATCTGGTAGTCAAAAAAAAAAAAAAAAAAAAAGCGCAAGTCTAGGTCAACAGCAGAAATAGTCCTCGTTACTAATGAAGTTGACTATTCCGCTTATAAAAATAATGAACATTTTGCCGGATTTTGGTTGATTAGCATTAATTAAACCTTCCTCTATTCCAGATATTTTAAGCTTGGATGTGCGGTTGGTACAATATCTAACGGTTCAGAATTGTAAATCAGAGATCCGAGTTCCAATTTCAACTGGGTTCGTTAAATTCACTTATACGCAATTAATCTTGGAAATATATGAAACCCCTGCGTTAATAACTTGCCTCAGTAAATCATTATTATAATTTAAAAAATATTATAATCATGATGGCGTTCTCGGCTTTGATGGCGCCTTGGGCGACTGTCCGCGTTACCTGCACCCTGAGTTCGCCCTGCTCTTTGCAAGACAAAAATTATTTTATGGCTTTAAATAACCTGCAAAATGTTGATGAGTCGTAAAATACCAATAAAAAATAAATAAATTTGAAAGAATTATTTTTACTTTTAAATCAGTGCTTATGTCACTAATAATTCCGTACTGGTGATCATGTCCTTTTTGTAATTCGTAGGAGTACACAGTTACCAATGTCGAAAGCACAGTTTCAAACTTAACATTTGTAAATTAAAACAATGTAAAGATAGCTTTTTATAAAATCAAAGCTGAAAGATCCAGAATAGAGCATTACTTAGGTTGGTTCTTCTAATCATTTGTAAATAGTACAACATAAAACAGGCTGGTTTCTAATTAAAACATAAAGTAAGTATATATATTTTGAAAATTAGACATCTTATGGAATTCTCCTTCTCAATAAATATAGCTTTGCCTTTAAATTAAAAATTTCCTATTTGGCGTGAATATTCAGGTCAGAAAAATATAATAATAAAAACCTTAAATTTAGTGAGTGATGGTTAGCTCATCTATTCGCTAAGATAAACTCGGGAATGCTTGGTGTTAGTTTGTGATGAAGTAAAACATAAGATTTTCGTAATTAAAATTGTAGGAAAGTATCAAAGTGATTTAAAAATAACCCAATCATCGCCTGTCTGAGCCTGCGAAATAATCAGTACGGAATAAAATTTAATATCTATTCCTGTGAACCGATTTCGGAATAGAAATAGAAATTGGTCTTAAGAATGGTTTGTATAAAATGTGAACGTTTGGACTAAGCTAGTAAAAAGAACTGCAGCTAACGATAAACCATTCTATGGTATATCTGAACATAAAACTTTGTACACATGGGCACATAAAATAATCTGCATAGTCAGTTAGCAGAAGTGATATCTGTTTAAATCAGCAAGTCGCTCTGGAGCAGAAAAATTGTTTTCCATTTGGTGGGATGATAGTAAATTCTTTTTCTTTTTGTTTCACCTTTTTTTTTCTTTTTTTTTTTTTTCACTATCGCTACATCTTTCTTTTTCTCACGCGTTCATTTTTTATTGCTTTTGTTTTTCTTCTTTCACGTATCTTTCCGATTCTGCACTTGATTTTCCTTCCTTATTTTCTTTTATTTATTGGCTTTACATTGGTTATTTTTTTTCTTAAGATCCCGACTTCTTTCATCATTGTACGCGTTTCTCATTTCTTTATTTATTTCATCTCGTCCCTTTTTAATCTTTTCTTCTTCCTATATCGTTTCTTTATTCTTTCTTTCATTGATTTATTTATTTTAGATTCCTTTCATCTTTCTTTCTTGCTTCTTTCTCTCCAAAACTGCCTCAATGAATTACTCTCCATTTTACTAATAAAACATATTTCCTCTTTTCTCCAACATCTTTTCTGTTTTATAATGTCAAATTTCTCCTTAAAAATAAACTTTTTTCACATCATGGTTTTACTTTTTTTATTGAATTCACCTCAAGCAAGGCAGTAAAGCCACTAAGACGCAAGAGGTTACTGGGTTTGAAAGAATTAAAAAGAAAAACAGAAACATTATTAATGAGCGGGAAGAATAGAAGAGTAATCAGTAAAACAGTAGAAAACGACTGGCATTGCATTTAAATTTTTGAAGCTCAAAGTTGACAAGAAATCATGCAGCCGGAAAAGAGTTTCACAGGGAAGAAATGCGAGAAAAGAAACTGACGAATACATATAACCAAATCATCTGTAAATTGATACGACCTTGTTGCCAAACTAGTATTGCAATTAAATTCATTTAGTTTAGGTACAATAACGAAGAGCTCATCCGAACAATTACCATAGAATTATTTATAGAAAAGGCCCAGGGAGGCAACTTTAAGGGGGTGGGCTATTTCTGATTCTTCTTTGGATTTTATCAAGAATCTCTAAATACATAGCAGGAGAACTGGATTTAAAATGGCAGCAATAATCTAAGTATGGACGAATAATAAACTTAGAAGTATGTACGATTCTGGAGAGAAAATTTTCTAGCACGAAACAGTGGACCAGCTTTCTTAGCAGATAACCTCGCAATCAATTCAATATCGTCTTTCCACTTCATATCAACCAAGAATGTCAGCCCGAGAAGGCACAACGCGTCACTCTCCTGGAGGTAGCATCTGCCATGTTGATGGAAGTCAGGAATGGGTCTCTCTGATGCTTAATAGAGAGGTTTTGTTTCCGATGCGTTAAAATTAGCAAGACATTCTTTGTTCCAGTTAACAAAAGACTGAAGGCAATTTTTGACATCAAGTTCCAACTTGACTTTATCGAACTGATCAGACTTAGTATCAGGAATAAAGGATTGTGATATCAGCAAAGATGCCAAGTTTAGAGCCGATCCTATCGGGAAATCTTTAATTAAAATTAAAAACAAAGTATAAGGCTTGGAGAACAACTGCATTAGTACAAAAGGATCTAGAAAAGTGGTCATTCGGAATAACTTTCATTTAGTGAATTTAGACTGAGTTTTAATATATACATACCTAAATGTTACTGATATATATATATATATATATATATATATATATATATATATATATATGTGTGTGTGTGTGTGTGTGTATGTGTGTGTGTGCAGGAAATTGTAAGAAAATGTAAAAAGGACTTCATCGTACTGGGTTTGTTGACGTTGTTTTGACTAGACATGCGCTCGAACGAGAGACGCTAGAATTTTTAAAATAACTTTTGCAATTTAGCCAAACTCACCTATTTTCTCTTTCTTTCTATCATCTGTTTTTAAATGTCCCAATATTTTGATAACGGAATATATATATATATATATATATATATATATATATATATATATATATATATATATATATATATATATAGGATTAATTTAAATATAGGTTTGTCACTTAGCTGACTGTTTTTACCTTCAATATCCTGACTCCAGAGTTTCGCATGCGGACCCGTCTATCCACTCTTTCAGGAGGTAGCAGCAATTTACTGTATATATTTTTCCGATTTGTTTCCTTTTTTTATACACATATATATACATTTTATATTTGTATAAGTATATATATATATATATATATATATATATATATATATTACACACATTTATAAATAAGTAATTGGTTCGAAGAATGTTTTTTATATTTCAACTCTTTACTTATTTAAGTTCATCCATTTTCTATTATGTAAGTTATAAATGCTTAACTAATAGTAAGACATGTTAGGAGTTTTCTGTCTATTAAATAAAGGGATTACTTTGAAATTAGCTGAAAGTTACCCGCATCGACATGCTCCTGAAGAAGACTGCAGAGTACAATGGTTGAAAGGTATAACAAAAATGGGACCAAAATCCACGTTCAAATAATACTAATATTGTTAAATTCTCATCCCAGAAATTCAAGTATTATCGAACATTATTATTTAGAAGGATAATGGAATAACACATTTTCATATATTTTTATAAAATTAAAACAAACTCTTGAAATCACTTTTTTTATTATTTTATTGCATAGAAATACTCGGATATTACATAAAATTCTGTTTCCGTCAGTTTCCTTCCATTTTGATTTTTCGACACACGTATTATTAACTAATACACTAAATAAATTTACATTAATTTTTTACGTGAGTGAATGGTTTAAACTGATAGAAATATGTCCAAGAAATCTCATTTCAGGTAACTATTTTAGAATATTTTTTTTTATATAACAAGTATATATTTAGTAAATTTCATCTCTATATTTCTGAGATGAGGTATTTTAACTA